GAGAAGAGAAGAGAAGAGAAGAGAAGAGAAGAGAAGAGAAGAGAAGAGAAGAGAAGAGAAGAGAAGAGAAGAGAAGAGAAGAGAAGAGAAGAGAGGGGAGGGGAAGGGAGGAGAGAAGATCCTGGGAGTGATCCCCCCACCAAAGAGTTCACACTGGGCAGGGGAAAGTGGTTAGAATTTTGTAAAGGGGCCTGGCTCCAGTCTTCTTCCCATCCCCTGGGGGCATTTCCAGTCCTAGGCCTGGGACCTTGGGGCTTCTAGGTCAATGAGTAGGCAGTGATCTTCTGGGCAACAGTCATTCACCAGCCAGACTACTGCCCTATAGGAAACAAGGCCCAGGGCAAGAGGAAGGTGTCTCAGGTTGGGTAACCTAACAGACAAGATCGATTGAGAAGCAACTCCCAGGGAAAACAGACAAGGGCATCCCAGCCCAGCCCAATCTAACCCAACCCAGCCCTTTAAGAGGGCGTATCCCTTCCCTGGCCCCATTCTTTTTACAGATTCGTGAAGGGGGCGGGGTGGACAGCCAAGAGAACAAACTCTTCAAGACCAGTTAGGAGGTCTGGATGAGAGCCGAGGGGAGAGGTGATATAGGGTGTTTGTGGCTTGGGTGGAAAGAAGAGGATGGATGGAAGAGAAGGTTGTCAGCAGAACTGACAAGGTTTGGGGGCAGCTAGGCACTGGCCCTGGGGTCAGGAGGACCTGAGTTCAAATCCAGTCTCAGACCAGACACTTGACACTTACGGACACTTACTATCTGTGTGACCCTGGGCAAGTCACTTAACCCCAATTACTTTGCAAAAAAAAAAATTTATTTTTTGACAAGGTTTGGCAGCTATTTCTGGGTCCTGGGCTTAGAGAGAGAAAAGAGCTGAGATCACTCTGAAGGCAGGAACCTGGGTGACAAATGGGGAGCAGTGGTGTCTTGGATAGAAAACAGGGGTTGTCAGGATGGGATGTCAAGCAGACTAGTGCATTAGAATTCAGGAGAGAGATGAACCCGGGAGAGGGTTGCGGACAGAGCCTGTGGGAGTGGAGAGAGAGAAGAGGGAGGGCCCAGGCCTGAGTGCTGTGGGGCTAAGACCATGAAGGGGAATGGGTAGACAGGACAGAGCTGAATGACCCGGTGGAGGGGCCAGGGAGGAGAAAGGAGGGGAGTGGGGCTGGGGGGTCACCAATCGGAGAGCTAAACTCTGGGAAAAGAAAGGCTCATCCACCCCCAGAATTGATCTGCTGCAGGGGCCCAGGTGTTGTCCCACTGGCCCAGTGGAGGGCTGGGACAGACTGAGATTGGAGATGGGGCTTAGGGAGGAAGGGAACAGTAGGGGCTGGACCCGGCACTCCGTCTGTGTCCTCCCCCAACCAGTGCAGGCTGGCACCTTCTCTGCCATGTTGGGTTTTAGTTAATTGCCTAGGGCCCTAGAAAGGGAAGGGACTTGATCAGGGTCACACCGCCAGGATGGTCTGACTGGCTGACAAAGGAACTGAGCCCAGGTCTTCCAGGCTTTATTCATCCTTTCCTTCATTCCTGGCTTTGAAGTTTGCCTCTCTCTCTACTGTGCCCGGGTACCTCCTGCCTGGAATGAGCTGGGAGTCAGAGGGTTGGGACTGTAGCTGGAGTGCAGACTTACGGTCCTGAACAGGACTAGTTCTTTGCCTGGAGTAGATGAGCCAGAAGGGTGGGACACCTCCTTATGGGAGAAGAGTCCCCTTAGCCTAAGGCTGAGGGAGAGGTACTGACTATACCCATCCCCCATAGGGCCCAAGATGGTGGCCCCACCAAGTGGCCAAGGGCATGTAGCTCACACAGGCTTTCCAAAGCCATGGGGTGTGTGTGCGTGTGCGTGTGCATGTGCGCGTGTGTGCATGTGCGCGTGTGTGGGGGGGGGGGGGAGAGGGGGAGGGGGGTTCCTGGCCTGAACCCCCAGGACTGGGGGCTCAGAGTTGGCTGGGACAGGAGGCAGTATATGCTCATTGGGGTGGGGGGAGGAGGGTTAGGAGGGGCGTATAGCTGGAAGGAAGGGATGGATAAAGGAGGCTGGAAGATTTACTGGGTGTCCCTGGGGGAGAGCAGGAAGAGGAAGGAGGAGAGATGAAGGCTGCCTGCCTGCTCACACATCCATGTCCGGAGAACCAAGGCCCTCAGAAGCGTTCCTGTCCAGGCCAACTTCGGCCCACTGACCCCAAGGGGATCTTGGGCTCAGACCAGACTGGCCCCAGCTTTGTGCTACAGCCCCTTCCCAAGCCCTTCCCCTCCTACACACATACTCCTAGCTCTGGCATGGAGTCTCCCATAAAGTGGAGATGTGTGCCTGTCCAGGCCTTCATGTCCTTTGCCAATCACCAATGTCAGGGTCACGGTGACCCTGGGAAATTACCAAGAGGCCCCCAAACCATCGCAGCAGCAACCGACCCATGGCACTTTCCAAGGCCCACGGGGCAGGAGGGAAGACAGAGGAGGGAGTGTGAACAGCCACATTCAGGACCACCCCCCCCGACCCAGCCCATCCGAGGAACTGCCTTCCCTGACCAGTAACTGGGCAATGGGAGAAGATAATGGGGGTGGGGGGTGGGAATTGACCCGGCCAGACTTCAGTACAAACACGCACAAACACGCACACCCGCCCACCCCCCCCCACACACACACCCACACACACACTCACCCCCCCCCCCCAGTCCCCTCCCCTTTTCCTGGGCAGGATGGGTGGAGGAAAGGTGAACCGCCCTGTGCCTGCCCGAGCTCGACCCACCCCCGCTCGGGTGCAAGCTAAGTGTGGCGGAGGAAGGGGGGGGCTCAGCCTGGGGGCGGGGCCGGGTCTCCGAGACAGGTGGGCGTGCGGGTAGATCCCCGGGGCCACGAGCTGGAGGCCGGCCAAGGCTGGACGCCCCGGGTGCCCCAAACCAAGAAGGGCAGAGCCCGGATCCCCTGGATCGTCCGCTGGGGCCCCTGCGCAGGCGAAGAGGGGGGAACCCGGGTCCGGACGCCGTTGGGGGAGGGGCAGCGGCCCGGGAGCGGGGCTGCGGGGATTGCGGGGTGTTCCTCCCTCCCAACTACCCTCTCTCCCTCAGACACACCCCTATCTGCCCGCCGCCCCTGAGGAGGAGGGGTCCTCCCCCAGCCCGGGCTCCCCGCCTCTCACCTGGCGGGGGGGCGGCCGTTGTGCAGGAATGCGCCCCCGGGGCCCCTCCCTCACCTGCGCTGCTGCGATCGGGGCCGGCCCCGGCGGCCGTGGCCATGGCCCGGCTCCTGCCTGCTGCTCGGCTCCTGGGCTCCCCGGGCTCCCTCCCTCGCTGGCTCCCTCCCGGCTCCGCCGCCGCGGCCGCCGCCGCCTCCTCTCCCGGTCCTCCCGCTCCCTTAAAGGCGCCGAGCAGCGGCCTCCGACGCGGGGGCGGGAGGAGGAGGAGGAGGGAGGAGGAAGGGAGCCACAGTCTCCCCTCCTCCCTGCTGCCCTCGCCCCAGGGCGAGGCCCCGGAGCCCCGAGCGGGGAGGCCGGAACGGGCCGGGGGGCAGCAGCCTGGAGACCCCGAGAGGCGCGGAGCTGGGACGCCACGACAGAGACTAGCAGAGAGAGCCCCGAGGACACACAGCAAGGGGCCGGGGCAGATCGAAGGCTTCCTAGACCCTCGCACAGAGACCGCGCTCAGGCCTTCAGCCACCAGTCCCACGCCCCGCTCCCAGCTCTGGCCCCTGCGGAGGCTTGGGGGGAGGGGAGGGAGGTCTCACTTGATTGCACCCCGAAGTCTGGCGCTGGCCCCGGGGAAGCTGAGTCCAGGCCACCCCACAGAGGCCACGGGGGTCAGGGCTAGGTGATAGCCTTCCCCCACCCCCGGCTCCGGGGTCCCTAGTCAGACAGATTCGGACCTGAATCACAGCTCACGTCCGTCTGCTCCAAGCTCTCCGGGGCAGGGGGTCCCCAGAGGAAGTGGATACCGACTTCGGGCCCAAATGGGAAGTCAGCAAATTCCACCCTGCCCCCAGCCTTGCTCTGAGGCTCTCCCCCTTCCCCCAGGACCACGGAGCGGACACTTGAAAGCTGCTGTCTCCGACCCTCTGAACCTTCTCTCTCCAAGGCTAAATGTGGCCGGTTCCTTCCACGCTCCTCACGTGCATGGATCCCAAGGGCTTTCATGCGCTTGGGTCACCTCCTCCAGGGACAGACTGACTGGAGTAGGTCCCGAGTGTTGGGCTGGAGGCCAGAAGATACTGGTTCCAATCCTACTTCCGACACTTCCTGTAGGGCCCTGGGGGAAAAATCATTTCTTCTCTCTGAGCCTCAGTTTCCAGATCTGTAAAATGAGAGGAATACTATATCATCACCTCTGCAGGACGGCTGAGAAAATCAAAGAGCTATTTCAACCCAACACACATTTATTAAGCACCTTCTGTGTTCCAGCCACAGCAGAGGTGCTGGAGGTACAAAGACCATATAAGAAGATTTCAAGGGGCCCCCAGAATTCTGTTGAAGGAAAACCAAAAGTACAGAGAAAGTAGAAAATCCCTTGTTCTCTACTTCCGCCTAATAAAAGGGCAGGTCTGTGAAGCACAGAGTGGTGACTCCGAAGGCACCCCTCCCCCCCACCGGAGGTGGCTGAGGGAAGAAGGGACCCTGGGGGAGGGGGAGGTGACACAAGGATCTAGGAGGGGTAGGTGGCCCAGGAAGGAGCTCAGTGCCTGCTGCCCAGTCCCAGAACCTCCCTGAATGGAGCCCAGGATCACCCATCACCACAGCAGCTTTTCTTTAGTTACCAATGCCTGAAGGAAAGGGCAGGGGGCTGGCAGAAGCAGCTGTCACCCTGATCCTCCTGCCTGTTCCTCTAGGCAGAACCTCAGTTTCCTCACTTGTCAGTGAGGGAGAAGGTGTCGATGGCCTCAGAAGGCCTCCCAGCTCTAGTTCTCCGATCCAGTGTAAATGCTATCCCAACCCCACACAAACATCAACCGTGACTGTTGGTGCTAAAGTCCTACCCAAATTTTAGTGCCTGGAGGGAGCGTCCTAGGAGCTGTGGGAGTTGTTTACCAAGCCCTGTGCTAGCTAAAGGAGAGTCCCTGGCCTTGAGGACAGACACACAGTTATGTAGTTCTGCACAAAGATGCACACAGCAAATCCGGGGTCATTTAGGCAGGGGCAGCCCTAACTAAGGGGCAGGCTGGAGGAGAGGCAGAACGACCTCATAGAGAAGGGGGGCTTGAGCTGAATCCTGAAAGAGACCAGGGATTCCTGGAGGATGAGGAGACACACGCACAGAGGATGATGAGGGCAAAGAGGTGACTTTTGTCTTCTGCCACTCACTGGCATAGCAGATGAAACAATACCTGACAGTTGAGCAGTGGTGCCAACCATTCATCTGAAGATGTACCAAAGAAAAAACTAGTAACTGAAGCAGAGACATTGAAATAGGAAAACTGCCTGAATACCACAATGAGAGGCAAGTTAAGGTTTGTTTCTGCAGAACCACTGTGATGGTCCAGTAGAGTTCCAAGATGGCTTACAATGCCCATGCCCAGCGATCATGGCTTTCAAGCAGCTTGACTTTGTGGCACACGAATGAAAACATTCATAACATCTGGATCATGTGATCGAACAGACCATGAGATGGGATTCCAAGGGAACAGAAGGGAACAAGGGAGTAGCCTGGTGCCATGTCCAGAGCACAAGTGAGGGTGTGCATATGTGTCTGACCATCCCTTGCGAATCAGTTTGCACCTGAATGTTGAACCCACGTGGCAGTTTGGAAACAATTTGGTGACAGGTTGAGGAACTGCAGAATCATATTGCGCTTGGTCAGACAAGGTCAGCATTTGATGTGAAACACCAAGATCGTTCTGTGCATGATCACGGTGGTTTTGAATTGCTGCAGAAACAAACCTATAATGCTTCCAACACAACATGCTTGTTGTCCTAGAGGAAAAACATTTGGAAGTTAATCAGTCAACTATTGCCTGTTTAATTTGCCATTAAAGACATTTGAGGGTGAACCTTTGAACCATCATCTCTCAAATCCCCAAGGGTTTCCTTTTTTTTTCTTTTCTTTTCTTTTTTTTTTAGGCAATTGGGGTTAAGTGACTTGCCCAGGGTCACACAGCTAGTCCCAAGGGTTTCTTGAAGCACTGCTTTAGTCCATCCTATCACTGACCAAGAGTCCTCTCTACACTACCCCTGACAGGTGGTCTCTCTATTTGGAAAGCTCCAGGGAAGGGGAGCCCCCCACCTCTCCAGCTAACCCATGCTACTGTGGGAAAGCTCTTGGGAATGGGTTTTTCCTGACGTCCAGGCTAAATCTGCCTTCCTGTCACTTCCTCCATGTTCCTAGGTTGCAAGCCTGAGGGTCTGGGAGGGCGGTGCTGCTCTTCACAGTAACAGAGAAGCTGGGGCAGGTGCAGAACGCCTGGGGGGGAGTTCAGTACGGGCATATTTCAGACATCTATGGGGCATACAGGTCAAGATGTCTAATGAGCTGTAGATATGAGAATGGAGGTCAGCAGAGAGATTGGGGCAAGAAAGGCAGATTTGAGAATCTTCAGCATAGAGATGGTCATGAAATCCATGGGAGCTGAGGAAAGGAAAAGAAAAAGGAGACCATGGGAGAGTTGGGAGTCCCGAAAACCTAGAGAGAAGAGCATCAAGGAAGAGAGGGTGATCAACAGAGTCAAAGGCGGCAGCCAGGTCGAGGAGACTGAGGATTGAGAAAAGGCCATTGGATTCCACAAGAGATCACTGGTGACTTTGGAGAGAAGTTTCAGTGGAATGACAAGATCAGAAGCCAGACTGTAAGAAGAGAGTGAGAGGAGAGACAGTGGAGGTGCCCACTAGACACACCTCTTCTAGTTCAGTAACAAAGGGTGAAAGAGACATAGTGGGGATGGAAGGGTCAAGAGAGGTTGTTGGTTCTTTCAGGCTCCGGAAGACCCATGTGTTTGTAGGCAGTGGGAGCAGCAAGGATGCAGGGACAGATTAGAATAGGGAAGAGAGTGGGGCTGACAGAGGGAGCGATGGACTGGGAGGGGGTCACCAGTGCAGGTAGAGGTTGACCTTGGTAAGGAGTGAAGCTGCTTCATCAGGTGAGACGGGAGGAGGAGAGGGGGCAGAAGGCACCTGAGTGATGGGAGGTGAAGAAGAGGGGACAAGGGGGAGCTCACGCAGAATGGCCTCAGTGGTTTTCTATAAAAGCTGAGGCAGAGGTCTCAGCTGATAAAGTGGAGGGAGTAGGGATGGCTTGTTATCGTCCTGGTGGAGAGTGGGATGGCGAGCTAATCAGGGAAGGGTAAGAGGATTGCCTTCCTGCAGTGAGGGCCCAGATGAGGCTGTATAGAATAAACAGGTAATGGACTCAGTAAGAAAGGTTGCCTCATTTTCTGCACCTTCAGCAGCCCTCGGTGCCTTGTGGGAGTGATCCCAGGCTGGGTGATGCTGGGGAGTCGAGGAAAGATTCAAGGAAGAGGGATTCGAGAGGGCAAGACAGCAGAGAGGGAAAGTGGTTCACCAAGGAGGCGAGACGGGGAGAAGAGGACAGAGCGGCTGGGTGCAGGGGAGCTGACCTGGGAGAGAACTGAGGGCCAAGGGGCAAGAGGTCACTGTGGATGAAGAGCAGCATGTGTAAGGGAGGGCAGAGGAGAAACATTAATAGATTATGGTCAGGTGAGGGGACTTGGAATTTCTTGAGCATGAAGGCAGCTGACAAGATCAAGAGGGTGACTGTCTTTTTCTGTGGCTAAGATGAATGGAGAAGGAGCTCTGGGTAGGTGGGTGGGCTGAAGAACTGAGTGGTTAGGGTCAGGTTTGAGGGAGTCCATATATTGAAGCCCTCTCGTATGAAGGCAGGAGTTAGAAAGGAGAGAAAAATTGTGAGCCAGATATCGAACTCATTGAGGAAGGAGGACAGGACTGGACAGAGAACTGTCAAATTAGCTAACTATTATGCACTCCTGGTGATTCATGTGGACATAAATAATACCGCCAGAACCTCAAAAGTGCCGACAATGATTCCAAAGTCTTGGTCAAGAAGTCTCAGGGATGAAGCTAATGCCTTTACTTCTTCTGCCTATTGAAAGCAATGGCAGCTAGGTGGTGCAATGGGCAGGGTGCCCATCCCAGAGTCAGGAAGACCTGAGTTCAAATCCAGCCACTTACTAGCTGTGTGACCCTGGGCAAGTCATTTAACCCTGCATGGAAACAACGAACATGAGCTTGGACAGAGATAGTAGAGGCTAGAAGGACCTGGGGTGCTATGGCCCATGC